AAAAACAAAGCATTTTATGAGATGAATATTGTGTGTATGTGTGTATGTATATGTATATGTATATACATACACACACACAATATTCATCATCTCATAAAATGCTTTATATATAGTGTTTGTGTGTGTAGATGTATCTAATATATATAATCTCTCTCTCTCCCGCTATATATTTTGTGTGTGTGTATAAAAGGTTATTGAGTGAACTTCAGATCTACATTTAATGCTTTGAAAGGGAAATGGGAAGACATAAAACAATATGTCGGGGAAGACCTAGGATTATCTATCTATCTAATCTAGTTATACTGCACTCATTGTGATATCTGACAACCTGAGATTTATTATTACTATAGTATTTGATATTTATGACAGTATACTACTATTATTAACACTATATTCTCCTATTATCTCCTAGTTTTAATATTAGGCCACAATAAAACCTGTTGTAATAGTTCCTAAAATGTATTTATATACACATGTTGGATGTAGAATCATAGTTTCATAGAAATGTAAGACTGGAAGTGACCTTGATAGGTTATCTTGTCCAGTCCCCTGCACGAGGCAGGACTAAGTATTATCTAGACTGTCCTTGACAGGTGTTAGTCTAACCTGTTCCTAAAAATGTTTAATAATGGAGATTCCATAAACTCCCTATGTAATTTGTTCAAGTGCTTAATTATCCTTACAGTTAGGAAGTTTTTCCTAATGTGTAACCTAAATCTCCCTTCCTGCAATTTAAACCCCTTACCTCTTCTCCTGTCCTCAGTGGATAAGGAGAACAATTTATCACCCTCCTCTTTATAACAATCTTTTACATACTGGAAGACAGTTATCATGTCCCCCCTCTGTCTTCTAGTCTCCAGACTAAACAAACCACGTTTTTTCAATCTTTCCTTGTGGGTCATGTTTTCTGGACCTTTAATTATTTTTGTTGCTCTCCTCTGGGCTTTCTCCAATTTGTCCACATCTTTCCTGAGATACTGGTACTGGACACAATACTCCAGCTGTGGCCTTATCGGTGCTGAGCAGATTGGAAGAATTACTTCTCGTGTCTTGTTTGCTTCTTTTGCAACGGTATTACATTGTTGACTCATATTTAGTCTGTGATCCATGATAGCCCCCAGATCCTTTTCTGCAGTACTCCTTCCGAGGCAGTCATTTCCTATTTTGTATTTATGCAATTAATTATTCCTTCCTAAGTGCGGTACTCTGCAGTGTCCTCACTGAATTTCATCCAATCTATTTCAGACTATTTCTCAAGTTTATCAAGATCAATTTGAATTCTAATCCTGTCCTCCAAAGCATTTGCAACCCCTCCAAGATTGGTATCATCAGCAAACTTTATAAGTATGCTCTCTATGCCATTATCCAAATCATTTATGAACATATTGAATAAAATATATTAAATACATTTGCTGGATGGAGGCAATGCATCTCCTTTGGGAGTGTCTTTATAGATGCATTAAATATTCAACTCTATTTTTGTATTTTACTCAACTAAATACAGTTATTAATTTTTGCTTGTTTAAAATCTAAAAGAAAAACTGAGAATGCATTGCACTTCTGAAGTACTGTTACTCTGAAGGACTCAACATTCTTTTCCAACATGAATGGATTAAACCTCACAAACACCCCTGTGAGGTAGGTGGTGTTATATCCTTTTTTATGCTGAGCAAACTAAGAGCTTGTCTTCACTTTCAGTGCTACAGAGGCTCCTATGCTGGTGAGAGAGCATCTCCCGTCAGCATAGTTAATCCACCTTTCCATGAGGTGGTAACTGTGACGTTGTA